GTACAGTACAGAATCCCGGGAGAGACAAATGTCAGGACACACCTCTTCCTGCCCGGATACCCACACTGGGAGAGGTGCAACCGTCCCTCGTTCATAGAAACTACAAGCCCCACCATCCCCTGCGTATATCTATTTAAAGGAGTGTTCCATTTACCTTTTTTTTCCTTTTATATATGTATCATTGTTTCTTTCTTTTATATTTGCAACATTGTTTCCCCTGTATGTCTGTGAAGGTTCTCATTCATCCAGGTCATGGTATATCTGTAAAAAAAATAAGTCAAGGCAACTGGACTTGCTGTATTTTTCTTGAAGACGTTTTCACTGGACATCCGACCAGCTTTCTCAATTCTGAATTGAGAAAGCTGGTCGGATGACCAGTGAAACGTCTTCAAGAAAAATAGAACAAGTCCAGTTGCCTTGACTTATGTTTTTACAGATATTGTTTCCCCTGTTCATAATGAGAAACTGCAATTTTGTGGAGGAGGTTAGCAAATGGCTGTTTGTGTCTCCGCTGGGGAGATTTTACATCACTTGCTGTCCCGGTGACCCCAGACAACAGGAAATGATATAAAATCTCCCCAGCAGAGACACAATAAAAAAAGAACTTAAGATCACCCCTTCTTTGCCTGTGGCCAACGTCTCAGAACGGAGCTAGTCTGAATCAGGAAATCTCAGTTTGTGTGACCCAACAGGAGCTCTTCCTGCTCCGGAGATGGTGTGAGCTACAAAGCACAATGTAGTGCAAGGGATGGGCGCAGGCACTTAGCTTGTGAGGTCATCAGGCATTGTACCTTCATATGGGCGCTCTCACATAACAAGGTTATATTTAGGAAGTTCAGCGGCTTATTTTACAAACAGGTTCAGTTTTTTTAATGAGGCGGGCGTTCTTCTATACGATGGCCGTGACGGTTTTGTTTCCACCCGCCGGGCATGCCGGGCGCGTATTACACCAGCTGGCGGGCCTCAGGATAACATTAGCGCCGGGGTTAACCCTTCTGTGACCGCATGCACTGTGACTGCTCAGCTGCTGAGTCGGCATTCTCTGACCTGACCTGAAGCTGCGGGCAAAACACATGGTTCGGGATGTCAGTTCGCTCCTGCTGGCCATGTGATCGCTCCCCTTGTCCTGTGACCCCCCCCTAGACTCAGCCTCACCGAGGGATAAATATATCCCAGATCAGCTGACCCCATGGAAGGTTAAATCCGCCCAGATACAGAACATTTAGATCTGGCTGAGCACACTGGACCCAGGAAACCTCGTTCGCAAGACTTACATGCTAGTTTTGCCTAGGGCAACTCCGGTCCTCTAGCTGTTGTGGAGCTAGAAGTCCCATGAGGCGTTGCAAGACTGACAGTTGCAGGCATGACTCCCATAGGCAGAAGCATGCTGGGATTTGTAGTTAAAGCACATTTGGAGGGGAAGAGTTGCCCACCAATGCTCTATACCAGGGGTGCACACAATTTTTTGTGTTAAGATCTACTTTTCAAATGATGAGCTACATGAGATCTACCAATGAAAAAAAAATCTTCCTCGCTCTCCTGGCTGTCTCTCTTGGCTGTCTCTCCCCGCTCTCTCCCTGGCTCACCTTGCGGTATTTTGCAAACAGTGCAGTGCAACTGGCTGTGTAAACGAATATTCTTTGATGTAATACATAGCACTTCAACCACCAGTATATAGGGAGCTACAGCTCGCAGTATACTGAGACCGCCGAAGCCGGGACAGATCCCGACATTACTGTAGAGATTCACCCAGCCGCGTGGGTGAGAGCTGGCTCTGTCTATCTAGAGGCAAAGCCACCTGTACCCGCCCTCTCCCCCGTCCATTCCTCCAGTCAGCGCTGTAGGATCAGAGCGGGGGGGGGGGGATCCCTGCAGGGAGCCATGAGAGACAGTCACGGCTCTCTGCAGGGAGACGATCGAGAAGTGAGCGAACGCCGGTATGTGTTCACTCACTTCCTGATCTATTGAGCCGACCTGGGATAGTCTCAATGTCACAGGTCGGCTCGAACTATGACGATGAGTGAAAATCCCTCACCTCATAGTTCTCCTTTAATTCCCTATGCTCCTCGGCTCCATCTAGTGGCCATAACGTGGTATTTTCCTGATTATTACACTCAACCTGAACAGAAAATATAGTAATAACATTTGTTTTTGCCTCCATTCACACCGAATGTACATGCAGTTGCCGAGGGCGAATGGCTCTATGAATTGTTCATAAATATATATCATAGTGTTGGGGGGTGTTTTCGTGTTAGTTTTTTGCTTTTTCTGTTTTTGAGTGTTTGTGGGTTGTGTGCAGAGATTTCCCAGCTTCCTGCCACCTCTAGTTTCGCAACTGTCACCCATATTGGTCAGGACAGGATGTGAAATCTCACCACAGGTGTGGTCAGACTTTGCTTTGGCCTATTTTTCATATCGTTTATTAATCTAGAACAAGCGCCCGATTGGCGTCTGTGCTTTTTAATCCACGTGCGTGATAATTATTCACCGGACAAAATAACCAATCAGTGCGCAGATTGTGCGTTATGGAGACACATTGCGGACAAAAAAAAAGATACAAAAAAAGATACAAAGATAAAATCTGTGTTTTTTGGGGGGAATATCAGAATAGAAATTCAGATGAGTTTGTGATCGGATCACCTGAGATGTTTCTTCTCTTACAGAATGCAACAGACTGCCCCCAGATAACCACCACCTACCTGCCCCCCACCCCGACCGGGACCCCCACAGAGTTCACCCTGACCTTGGCCAACGTCAGACAGGTAAGGATCCAGCGTCCCATTATAGAGCAATATAGCTCTGACATATACCGCAGTGCTGTGCAGAGAACACTTAGCCAGTCACATCAGTCTCTGTACAGAGGAGCTTACCCTCTAATGTCCCCTCCCCCACAGTCACATCAGTCTCTGTACAGAGGAGCTTACACTCTAATGTCCCATCACAGTCACATAGTATTACTATACATATATATAGCTCTGACATATACCGCAGTGCTGTGCAGAGAACACTGAGCCAGTCTCTGCATCAGAGGAGCTTACACTCTAATGTCCCCCCACAGTCACATCAGTCTCTGCATCAGAGGAGTTTACACTCTAATGTCCCCTCCCCCCACAGTCACATAGTATTACTATACATACATATAGAGCTCTGACCTATTCCATAGCGCTGTACAAAGAACACTGAGCCAGTCAATCTCTGCACCATAAGAGCTGACACTCTAATCTCCCCCCACAGTCACATTGTATTATTATACATTTATATAGCTCTGACCTATTCCATAATGCTCTACAGAGAACACTGAGACAGTCAGTCTCTCCACCAGAAGAGCTTACACTCTAATGTCCCCCCCACAGTCACACAATATGATAATTTTACATATAAATAGCTCTGACATATACTGCAGTGCTGTACAGAGAACACTGAGACAGTCAGTCTCTCCACCAGAAGAGCTTACACTCTAATGTCCCCCCACAGTCACACAATATGATAATTTTACATATAAATAGCTCTGACATATACTGCAGTGCTGTACAGAGAACACTGAGACAGTCAGTCTCTCCACCAGAAGAGCTTACACTCTAATGTCCCCCCACAGTCACACAATATGATAATTTTACATATAAATAGCTCTGACATATACTGCAGTGCTGTACAGAGAACACTGAGACAGTCAGTCTCTCCACCAGAAGAGCTTACACTCTAATGTCCCCCCACAGTCACACAATATGATAATTTTACATATAAATAGCTCTGACATATACTGCAGTGCTGTACAGAGAACACTGAGACAGTCAGTCTCTCCACCAGAAGAGCTTACACTCTAATGCCCCCCCCCCCCCCAGTCACATCAGTCTCTGTACAGAGGAGCTTACACTCTAATGTCCCATCAGAGTTACATAGTATTACTATACATATATATAGAGCTCTGACCTATTCCATAATGCTGTACAGAGAACACTGAGCCAGTCAGTCTCTGCACCAGAGGAGCTTACACTCTAATGTCCCCCCACAGTCACACAATATGATAATTTTACATATAAATAGCTCTGACATATACTGCAGTGCTGTACAGAGAACAGTAACTCAGTCACATCAGTCTCTGTACAGAGGAGCTTACACTCTAATGCCCCCCCAAAGTCGCACACTATTATTATACATTTCTATAGCTCTGACATATACTGCGGTCCAGTATTGAGAACACTGAGCCAGTCACATCTGTCTCTGGACCATTTTGTTTTTTTGGGGGAATAAAAGTAGAATTTAGCTCTGGAAAACCTACTTGAGCACAGGGAGAACTTACAAACTCCATGCAGGCAAACTGATCTCAGGCCATAGTGTTGACCCCTGAGCTGCTGTGCTGGCCCAGTTTCTGGGAGAACCCAGATTCTCACATATGTAATGCAGACTGAACAGATGCTCTGTGTGTGTCGCACCTCCTAGGATCTCAGGCTGGAATGTGACTTTGGACCAGGACAGACCTTCCCAGCCAAGTGGTTGAATTCTTCCTCCGTCTCATGCAGCAACGTCTGGGTAAGATAACGGCGTGCCTGTGCGGGTCACTCTTTGTGTGTATGTTCCCATAGCATCGCCCCGCGTGTCACCGCCAGCCTATGGGGACACTGCTGTGACTGTGTCTTCTATATAATGCGGCATTGTGTGTCGCCGCATCTGTGTGTACGCCGATCAATGGGACACGTTATAGAGGAGACACTGAACTCTGACTGTACACGGGGCTGTGTCACCTAAACTGTGAAATATATAGAGAGCGTCTCAACTCCTATCTATCAATTCAATTCAAATAAGCTTTATTGGCAGGACCAAATACATTTTAGCATTGCCAAAGCATATGGGGAGGTTATATGGGAGGGGGGTGTAGTGGGACATTATTAGGGTTAATGAATGATATGGGGGATTAGGTAAGTCCAGGGACATTATCAGGGTTAAGGGATAATATGAAGGGGGATGGGGGTGAGTCCATGTTGGGGATTTATAAGTCCAGGGATTATAAATTGGGGATTTATAAGTCTGTCTGTCTGTCTATCTATCTATCTATCTATCTATCTATCTATCTATCTATCTATTTTCTATTATCTATCTATCTATCTATCTATCTATCTATCTATCTATCTATCTATCTATCTATCTTCAATAGATCCATCTATCTTCTCTCTCTCTCTCTCTCTCTCTCTCTCTCTCCTCTCTCTCCCTCTCTCTCTCTCCAATCTCTCTCTCTCCCCCTCTCTCTCTCCAATCTCTCTCTCTCTCTCTCCTCTCTCTCTCCTCTCTCTCCCTCTCTCTCTCTCCAATCTCTCTCTCCCCCCTCTCTCTCTCCAATCTCTCTCTCCCTCTCTCTCTCCAATCTCTCTCTCTCACTTCGATAGATCTATCTTCTCTCTCTCTCTCTCTCTCTCTTCGATAGATCTATCTTCTCTCTCTCTCTCTCTCTCTTCGATAGATCTATCTTCTCTCTCTCTCTTCAATAGATCTCTCTCCCTCTCCCTCTCCCTCTCTCTCTCTCTCTCTCTCCCCCTCCCAGAAGATCGATCTATCTTATTTTTTCTATCTATGTCCATATCTATCTATCTGTCTGTCTATCTCTGTGTAAGTTTGGAAACAAACAAATGTATTATTCATCTATTTCTTGGATCTCCACAATGACATATATACAGATTTACTTTGTTTAATAATAATCTAATAATTTGCATAACAAGTCAAAAGTTTCCAGAATAAGAATCCGGTACATTTCGCTTTCTCTTTTCTTTTCACCCGTTAGCTCCAAACTTTGGAAAGTAGCCGGAAATTTCCAGTGAACTTGCAGCTGAACAATCCTTCTGGACGGTTCCTGGACAATCCTGGTGCAGTGAGCGGTAAGTTACATCGTCTGACGCATTGCGATCCTTTGTATGCGAGAAAGGGTGCTGGAAGTGCCGATAGGGATCTTGTGTTCGACCTCCATATTTACCGCCGCAGCGAAGGCAACTTTCCCCCGAGCGTTCTCCACCAGATGATGTAGTAATATATACAAAGAGACGGCGCAGGCAAATAACGGAGGGGGGAGGGCTAGAGGGGGGGGGCAAGTGTGACCGCGCTCCCCTAAATAATAACATTTCTGTGGAGGGAAGTCACAGAGAGGGAGCTGGAATCAGTGCAGAGGGGGAGCTGGAAGATGATTTCTTTATGAAGTGCTGAAGCCCTCTACGCACTGTTGTTGCGCCAATCTGAAGGCCACATGAAGTTTGGAGGTCTGTAGCTATTGACTCTGCAGACAGTTGGTGACTTCTGCGCACTGTGCGCTTCAGCATGCGCTGACCCCGCTCTGTCATGTTACGTGGCCTATCACTTCCTGGCTGAGTTGCTGTTGTTCCCAGTTGCTTCCACTTTGTTATAATACCAGTAACAGGTGACCGCGGAATATTTAGTAGCAATGAAATGTCACGGAACGCCTGAATCCAATGATTTGGAGGGGTGTCCCAATACTTTTGGCAATATAGTGTATATAACAATAGATAGATAGATCACATGATATAAGAAACAACATTCGAACCATTTCCATTTCCGCAGAGTCCGCGTTGAACGCTCGATTCGAATCGCAGTTAAAGCTGCATCTTATTTCTGCCACAAATTGAATTAAACGCAATGTCTTCACTTGAGTTAACTTACATCTGCAGCCTGAAGCTTCGCCAAGATGTGTTTCCACATACGAGCAGTCCGTCATGTTTTTTTTTTTCTATGTCTCTCCTCGAAATAAATTAAAACGACATGACGGAGCCCTGAAATCCCGTCTGCATCCTCCATATTCCAACTGAAACACGTTGGTTTTTTTTCTTTTTCTCTGTCTGATCCCTCAGCCGGTTTCCTGCGCAGAGTTTCCTTAATGTTTCTATTGTTTTTCTGTGGAAAATAAAATTCCTTTCCAGTTATTGTCGGCGACGGTGATGTCAGCGGTATTAAGCCGCAGGCTAGTAGTGGTAATAAAGGCGCCGCCATCGCAGGATGCCGGTGACAGATGTTGTCGCTTGTAGCAACTTTCCTGACTTGGCGGCCTCGGTGGTCGGCGCTCAACACCAAGAACGTTTCGGGGCTTCCGCTCGGTCACTGGCTCCCATTTTCAGTCAGTGGGATCTGTCAATGCTAAGCCTGATGAAGAGACCCCGTGTGGCCCCCGAAAGTGCTTGTTACCGCTCTGTCACTGGCTCCCATTTTTACTCATTTGGATCTGTCAATGCTAGACCTGATGAAGGGACCCCATGTGACCCCTGCAAAGCGCTTGTTTCATGACATGGTTCTGAATAAATAAACACTTGGACTTCGGAATGCTGGTGACATTTGTTAACGATTGTTGCTATTGGCGGCGCCATCCGCAGTCACTACAAGCACTCCCCCCAAAACTTGTGACATCCAGTAAGGAGTGCGACAAGGCATCCAAGCATTGGGATTTGGCCCTAAGATGGCCGCCTGCGCATGGTGTGTCTGTGATCACACTGGAATTACAAAGCAGTCGCCACCAAGACCTTTGCGACCAATGATGCAAAGAATATATAATTGTGTGTGTGTGTAATTTCACTTTACACACACCTATCAAGTGTTTCGCATGCCCCTTTCTTTATAAATTGACTTTAACAAGTCTGTTTATAAACAAAGGGACATGTGAAAATCATTTTTTTTTAAATAATGGCAAAAACGAATGTTCTTAATATATTTTCTTTTCAGGTCGAATGTGTTGTGATATAACAGTGCATTATGGCCACTAGATGGGGCTGAGGAGCAGAGAAAATTATTTCCACTGCTCCATCTAGTGGACATAAGGCTGAACTATATCAATACATTCCATGTAAGAAAATATATATATAGATATATTCTCT